ATCCCATTTAACCCTCTCAATCTTCGCACATCGACGTTGCACACGTGCGACCAGTGTTGCGCAGCTGGGAGTGCAGCAGTACATGGACATTGGCGTGCCCGCGGACAAGATCGTGCTTGGGCTACCCTGGTACGGCTACGACTACCCCTGCCTCAACGGTTCGTCACACGCAACATGCAACGCACAGCACTCTGCTCGCTGCATCACATGTGCACGCGTCATTCTTCTCCTTGCCAGCTCATCGCGTACACACCGTGTGCACCGCCCACCTGAACTCACCACTCGACCACACCAATACCACTCCACCTCCACAACCACCAACACCACTCTCACCACAACCACCACTATCACCAATGCACCATCACCATCGCCACCAGGCGGGAACGCGAGTGCTCGGTACTGCGAGATCAAGCGCGTGCCGTTCCGCGGCGCACCGTGCAGCGACGCAGCCGGCACGGAGCGCGGGTACGGTGATCTGTGGCAGGTGATCCACAACAGCAGCGCGCCCACCACCCCGGTCATGTACGATGACCTGCTCGTCTCAAAGTACTTCAACTACCGCCACACCGACGGCACCCTCCACCAGGTCGTGTGTGTGTGTGTGTGTGTGTGTGTGTGTGTGTGTGTGTGTGTGTGTGTGTGTGTGTGTGTGTGTGTGTGTGTGTGTGTGTGTGTGTGTGTGTGTGTGGGCCTCACGGCACGGAGACCTGTTCACTGACTGATTGATGACCTGTTCTCCATCCGCTCCCTTCGCCACCCCCACCACCATCAATCACCACCCTCAACCCCACCACCATCACCACCCTCACCCCCAACGTCACATCGACCATGGCCCCTTCCCCCCACCCCCTCCTTGCCTCTGTCAGGTGTGGTTTGACGACCCGAGCACGCTGCAGCAGAAGTTTGCGCTCGCCAAGACAATGGGTCTGCGCGGCGTTGGCGTGTGGAACTTTGACCTGCTTGACTACAGCACCAACGACCCCCGTGTGCATGCGGCCACAAGAGACATGTGGAACGCGTTCAATGCCTTCCTCCAGCCGTGACGTGGCATGTGTCCTATCGTGTGGTGTTGTGGTGTTTGCATGCGCCCTGTTGCTGGTCTGTAACCGTTACTGTCATGTAGATCACCCACCCAACCAACCAACCAAGGAGTAGCTATTGATGTGCTTGTTATGTTTGGCCACACCCATTTGTCGCTTCTCCAAACTGTATTGCTGTGTTGTGTACTGTGACAACGAGGGTAAAGCACATCGCTACATTGCTCGCTTTCTCCCCATCACGCAAACAGCAGACCACAACGCTCAACTCTCTCAAATACCACCTTCATCACGTATGCTTCAACAAAGGAATAACGGAACAACAGAGACACCATGTGTGTACGTGAATGTGTAAGTGAAAGTGTGTGTGTGTGTGTGTGTTCACCGGGCGTGCTGTGCTCTGTGCTGCGCTGCGTCGTCACCGCTGGAGAAGCGAGCGCGAATCACAAACCACGCCGTGCACGCTGCAACAAAGGGCAAATTAAAACGTGAGAGTAAGCGTGTGCATGTGTACGGTGTGTGAGCACGGATGTGTGTGCGTGCAAGCAGTTGCCATCTGTTCACATATGAATGTGTGTGAAGTGCTCACCGCAGAGGAGCGTGGCGCCGTAGATGGGCAGCAGAAACCCGACACATGTCGTCTTGTCAGCATCAATCGTCTGCACACCGCAGGAGAAATGGGATGGAGTGGAGGCGTTACATCCAAATCAACCACGTGCGATGTGCACACGCCGCCGCAGAGGCACAGACAAGCAAGCACTGACACAAACTCTTACTCATATGGACACACACACACACACAGACACACACATGCACGCGATCTCACAGTCACACACTCCCGATGACTGTGTGATCTGGCATGTGGGCGCACCAGGAAGGCAACAAAGTAGTGCATAGCGAGGACGAAGAAGAGCTTCCAGTCGCGGGATGGAATGAACATCGACTTGCTGATGGTGCGCTGTTGGTGGACGGCACGCAATGTCAAAGGCGGGCGTGAGGGGATAGCAAGGTGCACACACACACACACACACAGACATGTACACATGCAAGCACACACACCACCACACATAGACAAACGCACGACAATGGTGCACACCTGTTCCCAGGCCTTGCCAGCGATGACGCCCCAAAAGGCGTGGCACATGACGATGGCGGCAGACACGAGAGCAGAGATGGTGAAGAGGTTGAAGTCTGGGCAGCCGCGCGCCGGGACCATACCGGGGCCAGTCATGATGTCGAGCATGTTGCTCATCATCATCACCGCAGACATGACCCCAAAGCCAAGCCCAGAGACTAAACAGTGGCGGCGTTGATGGAGGAGGCAAGAAGGCAGAGAAGAGAAAGCGATACAGGGGTTTGAGTGATAAGCAAACAGGAGAACGGAGGAGTACAGCAGCGCATCAAACACAGCAGTGCATCAAGCACAGGCGGGTGGAGAGGAATTGTGACGGTAGCCAAAGAGCGGGCGTTGATGGACGCAATGCATGCACTCACCGAACCACAGCTTCTCGCGTGTGATGACGACATCGCCATCGGGCGTGAGGGTGCTCAGGCCCTTCTCCGCTTTGCTGTTGGCGCGAACACACGTGCATCAAAACCGGAAGCGTGAGCGGTCATCAGGCAACACAGCAATGCCACTGATACACACACACACACACACACAAACTCCACTCATGAACAGTCGTCAAGCAAACGGACATGGGCACAGACAGCCAGATATGCAAACAGAAACATGCACACATACATACACACACGCACACGCAGACACAAATACACAAAAGCATAGGGGTCTGCGCACAAACGTACTGCAGCATCTTCCAGAAGAAGTAGCGGAACGCCTCTTGGATGGGAACGGAAATCAGGATCACAAACCAATAGTCATCCTGGCAAGCGCGCGCCCAAGGCATGCGTTGAGACCGACACTACCACAGCATGCATGTCGCACACGCACACACACGCACACACACACACACACACACACACACACACACACACACACACACACACACACACACACACACACACACGCACGCACACACACACACACACACACGTATTCATTATGCAAACGGCAACAACGATCGGACAGTACCTGCAGCGGCGGGATAATGATCCAGATGATGCCCGTCAATAGCGCTGCCAGCAGCCACATGAATGCGCTGCAGCATGGCACGCGGTTTGTGAGGGTGACATGCAGCAAAGATACATGCCAAACCAGATGGAGACGATGCGCACGGAGTTTGCCAACTAGTCGGTCCGCACGCACACGCCCACAGCTTTGGAAGGCACCCTCGCTCCTTCTTCTACACACACACACACACACACACACACACACACACACACACACACACACACACACACACACACACACACAGAGGCACAATCTCCATCGCCCTTGCACGTTGGTTGCGCGACAACAAACCTGGCCACGAGCACGATGACGAGTTTGGGGCTCCGCCGCACCACAAACCAGAAGATGGCCAGTGGCATCGAGAAGATGATGAACAGCGATCCCCATAGTGTCGCCTAAACCGAGCACAAGGCATGTGTGAGCGTTGTGTGCGTGCGTATGCTGTGCGTGTGTGCATGTGCGTGTGCATGCATGTGTGCATGCAAGTAGTTGGAGTTCATCAAACACAAAGGCCAGCAGCAAACCGCAATACAAACAGATGTTCCTCTCGCACCTGAGTCATGATGGCGGCTGTCTGTAGGCAAAAATCAAAGCAAGGCTCTAAGTGTGGGTCTGGGTGTGTGTAGCAGTAGCAGCGGCAGCAGCAGCAGCAAACGCAAAGACAGCGCTGTGTGTGTGAGAGAGAGAAGAGGGCAAGCCAAGGCAAAGCAAGCAATCCCAGATAGGGAGGGAAAGGACTGACACACCTCAGCACGGCAAACAAACAACACAACCAACGTCGTTCGGTTGCAGCGGCTCCAGCAGGAAATGCCAATTTGCCATGTTTCCTGCAACTTTTCTCCATTGCCAACCACCAAACAAGCACGACAGCCAGCACAAACAACACAAAGCGCACCACACCACCAGCACCAGCACACCACTAGCTAGCATGTCGACGGAGGCAACGGAGGAGGGTGCAGTGGCTGCCGTGGATGCACACGCGAAAGAGGATGCAGCAGAGGAAGGCATGATGGCTGGTCCGTCAACTGTTGACACGCCTACAGCCCAAGATGCAAGAAGGGAAGACGAGGCGGATGCGGCACAGACTGGCAATGGTCCATCACGACCCCATAATGACGATGACGATGATGATGATGATGATGATGCAGTCCATGATGATGATGATGATGATGATGATGATGATGGCGCGGCAGTTGGCGATGCCGGCCCACAAAGCGGAGGAGTTGAGAGTACACAGGACACAGCAGCGCATGACATCGCTAGCTCACACCCATCAGAGACGACGCTGGTGCGGGAACCTCTCGAGGAGTCGGCTGACCATCAAGGCAATGAACAACAACAGCCTGCAAAGCAGCAGGCAGATGATGCACACGATGCCGTTCTCACACAGGATGCGGACGATGACAACAACAATAGCGACATCGCAAGCAATGACCTGCACGAAGACGTTGAACCAGGTGACCGTGGTGATGAACATACGGATCAACAACAACCGAGCTCACACTCGATGCAAGCAGGCAGCGAAAGTGTCACAGCTGCCGCATTTGCGTGGGAAGACGAGGAAGACGCTGAAGTGGCATCGCTGCTGTTTGATTCAGAGGAAGAACAAGATGAGCAAGATGGGATGGTGCCGCCGCTACAGTCCCTCGGCCGCGATGCTGGGGCTCCCGGTCTGTCCACGTCATCTCTGCGCGGCGCGCTGGCTGGCTCACAGAGTCGCAGCAGCAGAAAGGCGCTCTTCCCAGACCAGCAAGCCGTCGGCAACCAGATTCGATTGGAGAAGATCACCGAGAACATGCAGCGGTATGACAAGGAGGTGGCAAAGCTGGAGGCACAGCGGGGCAAAGTGGCAGCCAACATCTCCGAAGCGCGGGCACAGCTGGCCAGTCTTCATGCACAAGTGGACGAGCTGGACGATGGCATCGACGCCCTGCTTGACTCCGCCACCACCGCCGACGGCACGTTGAAGAGTGAGGTCAACGCGCTCCAGAACCAGCAGAACTGCCTTCTCAGCCAAGTCACCGACCTGGTATGTAAAGAAATGTCCATGCTTGTTTTGTTGCACGTGTGCGCTGTCATCGCTGCTTGTTGCTGTTACTGTTGCTTCCGCGCCTGTTTCTGTCGTTGTTGCTGCTACTGCTGCTACTGTTGTCGCTGTTGTTGAAAGTGGTGGATAGTTGTGGATTGTGGTGGGTGCTTGAGACTGTGACAGCAAGGTGGATAGCGAAGGCTGGTCATAGGTGTACCCTCCCTGATCACCAGCTGAATTGTGCGACTGCTCATTCATTGCTGCTTGCTTGTAGGAGGAGAGCATTCGAGAGATGGAAGCGCAAGATGCCACCATCCAAGAACGCATCCAAGATTGTACTGCGAAGAAAGCGCAGTTTGCAAAGCTTGAACAGGTACGGCCATGGCTGTGCTCGGGCGATGTGATGTGGATTTACTCTTGTCTCTTCCATCACTCCACAATTCATGCGCCAACCTGCGCTGTACTGTTCACCACTGATACCACACACACACACACACGCGCGCGCGCACACACACACACACACGCACACACACACCAACATGCACACACCACCACACACCAACACGCACACACACACACGTACGCACAAACACACTCAACTCAGATGGTGCTGGACACGAAGAACAACAACGACAAGGTGGACAAGATCCTACACCGCCATCGCCGGGAGGGCAGTGGACCGCTGGTCGAGCGGACACGCAAGCGGCGGTCAAAGCAGACGCAGCCGTTGCCGTTCCCAACAGACGGGCAGGAGGCGACGGCACGCGTGCGCCGGCTTATTGGCGAGCGCCTACAGCAGGCGAAACAGCGCGAGCGAGAGGCAGAGACACAGGAGGCCGTGGAGGAGGGCAGGAAGCGAGATGTGCTGCTGAGCTTGAAGCGAAACATCGACCACGTCTCAGAGGGAGACAGGCGGCGGGCCATCGAGTTGAGGAAGCGACGGCAGCAGGCTGAGCGCGAGCACAAGGCCGAGAAGCAGCGGCTGCTGGCGGAGGGCCAGAACCCGGAGGAGGTGTTCCGGCGACGCAAGCTGGAGCGCGAGCGAGCGAAACAGCAGCAGCGCGCACAGAGGGAGAAGGAAAAGCAGGAGCAGAGCATTGCCGCGCGCATTGCACAGGAGATGTCGTGGAAGCGAAGCGAGGTTGGCGAGCGCACGGCCAAGCTGCGGCAGACGGCAATTGGGACAACCATGAAGACGATGCAGGCGACGAGCGGGGCCGTGGCGGGCAGATTCGAGGCAGAGGCAGCGCTGCAGCTGAAGATGGAACAGCAGCAGCAACGTGGCGCTGGTGGCGCTGGTGCTGGTGCTGGGAAGCAGCGAGTAGGACCGAACCACAAGAGCAGCAAAGCGTCAAAGGTGGCACTGGCAAGTGCACAGGATATCGGTGACGAAACAGGTGGCACTGACGGCGGCAGTGTCAATCCCGCAGCGAAGGCATCATCCGCCATGTCTGTTGGCCGCATATCCAAGCAGTCGTCGAAGCAGCAGCTGCTCGCAGCGTCCAAGATGGGCAGCCAGATGTCAGTGCTGAGTGGCTCCAGCAAACAACAACAACAACAGCAAGGGCCGCTTCCATCGGCGTCAGATCTCGCCAGACAGCTGGTGCGGTGCCGATTGATGTGTGTGCGTACTGTGTAGTATGTGTGTTGTATGTGTGTGGCTACACTGCATGTGTGTTGTGTGTGGAGGCTCGCGCGCGCGTGTGTGCACGTTTGCGCCTTTTTTTTTTTTTTTCTTTTTTTTTACATTGCACATGTTTGTGCTTGCGAGCGTATCATCGTGTATGCACATAGTTTTGTGGACCCTTTTCTTGACAGGTTGCATTTGCCCTCTCACTCACGTGTACACACACACACACACACACACACACACACACACACACACACACACACACACACACACACACACACACACACACACACACACACACACACACACACACACACACACACACACACACACACACACTCGCTCACTCACTCAAACACACACATTCACACACACCACACACTTCACTCACTTCACTTACTCAAACACAAATGTGCACGGTTAGGTTGTTGCTGGGCGCGAGTTCAAAGGGCCTGCATTTGTGAGCAAACCTACAACCATCTCCTTCGAAGATTTTGACGTGGGCGAGACATATGCGCAGAAGGTTGTGCTGACCAACATCAGTTACAGCGTCAACAGTTTCCAGCTGCTGCCACCGCCTGTGGACGCCATCACATACGAGTACACCCCAAGCGGCGGCCTCAGTCCCGGCCTGTCTGCAGAGCTCACTGTCGTGTTCTCCCCAAAGACCAACCGTGACTGGTCAGGCCACATTCGCCTCCTTGCGCAGACGGGCGAGTTCACCATCCCGATAGAGTGCCGCCGTAAACGCGCCAGCGTGTCGCTGTCTTCGCAACATGTGGCGCTTCCGTCGGTGTACATTGGCGAGACAGCACGTGCAGAGGTGGTGCTGGAGAACACGGGCGCGCTCGCCACGCAATACCGCATCCAGCCCATCCATGACAGCAGCGACGGTGATGGTGGTGATGGTGATGGTGATGGGGCCGCTGCTGCAGATCGCACGACGACATCGACGACAACAGCTTTAGCTTCAGCGACCGTGGTCGAAAAGGACGAGGCGGAAGCGAGGGGCGGCAACGCAGGCACTGGCATCAATGCGGGCGCCAAGGTCGCAGATACAGCAGACAAGAGCAGCAACAACAACAATAACAACAACAACAACAATAACAACAGTGGCAGTGATGGCACGACAAAAGCGACAACGACAGCAACAGCGACGTCGTCATCTGCGTCGCACCATCATGGCATTGAGCTCGAGGGTGAAACAGACGGCGTGCTGGCGGCAAAAGGGAACACAACGATTGGCGTGGTGTTTGCACCCCCGCACCCTGGCCCGTTCTCCCGCAAGTACAAGATTGTGTTTTCGGACAGCGACTGCGCGCCGCTTGAACTTCAGGTGGACGGAGAGTGCACGGCTGTGCCTGTGCAGCTGACCCACGACAGCGTTGACTTGAGGATTTGCCAAATCAACCGCGTGTTTTCGGACCGCGTGTTTGTGACCAACACCAGCTCCACCTCGTCGTTCAAGGTGGCCTTCTCCGTGCCCGCCCCCGCGCGCAAGTATCTTGAGGTGCGGCCGCGCACCGCTGTTGTGCAGGCCGGCAGCCGGTGCAAAGTGTCGCTTGTGCTCACCCCTGGCGAAGACATGCTGAGCGACCTTGGTGACATGGCCGACAGCGAGACGTGTCTCGTGCACATCCCCGTGACCATGGTGACGGAAGGACTGGCGTACAAGGCGCAGGTTGTTGTGCACGCCAACATCACCCCGGGGGACATTGAGGTGTCGGCGCAGGCCATTGACTTTGGCCGTGTTGCGTTCACGGAGAGCGTCGTCGCGCCTCTCACCCTCACCAACACGTCTGCGCTTCCACAAGAGTTTGCATTCACCAACTGCCCCGACTACATCTTCGTGCAGCCCAACAGCGGGTTTGGGACGCTGCTGCCCTTTGAGACGACGCGTGTGAATGTCATCTGCGCACCGCAGCGCCACCCGCACGACGACGACGACCGCCCCCTCCGCTGCACCATCAACCTCGAGTGGCCAGGCAGCAATGAGCCCAAGAAAATCAGGTGCAAGGCCGTGGGCGTGCTGCCCCCGCTGCGTTTGAGTTCGAACCGGATCCGGTTTCCGCCCACCTGTCCTGGCGACGAGCGTGTGGCGCGCGTGGAGCTGAAGAACGTTCGCACAGTCACGCGCACGTTCCAATTTGGCATTCCATCGTCCTCCTCAATCAGTCAGTTGTCCCCTTACAAATGCACAGTTGGTGTATTCTTTGTGCTGTTTGCCATGGTGTTGTCAGATGTGTTCTAAGTTGTACTCCAGTGCTCAGGAGTGTTGCTCTGGTGACGGTTGCAACTTTGTTGCATTCTGTTGTTTCTGTGCCAGCATGACTTCCGCACATGTGTTTGCTTAGCCCGCCTGTGACCCCACCACCACCATCTCACATCTTCTCATATGAACCCACCCTTCCCCTTCCCCTTCTCTCACATTTTCCCCTCTCACCTTTTCTCCTCGTGTCACCACGACCAGGTGTGAGCCCGCTGTGCGACACGGTGAAGCCGGGCGAGACGCTTGCACTTTGGGTGCGTTACGTCAAGCCCAAGCGCGACGACGGCGTGTTGTTTGCAACGATTCGACGCTTGATCAGGGAGCAGCAGGCCAAGGAGGCCGCAGAGCGTGAGGCCGCAGCAGCAACAAGCGATGCGGTGAGCCCGTCCACATCCACGGCCAGCGATGCGAAGGCAAGTGCAGGTGCCAAGCAAGGCAGCGGGAAACCGACGTCGAAGAAGCCGTCTGCTGACTCGACACGCACGGGCGTGTCTGCCAAGAGCGCGATATCCATTGCCCCGTCAACCATGACCACATCGTCAACACAGCTGTCTGCGGAGACCCCCGACGACGCCCCACTCTCGCTTGTGGAGGTTGATCCGGCCATCCTCTCTGCCGCGCTGCAAGAGGTGTACCCGCAGCGCATCCACCGGCAGCTCATTCCGTGCTACGTCAAGCCGCGCTCATCCTCGTCTTCGTCCTCGTCAGCGTCGAGCAACACGGCCAACAATGGTGCTGATGGCGGTGCTGATGGCGGTGCTGACGGCAGCAGTCGCGGGCCCGCGGCCGTTGCCGTTGACACAACCGAGTGCTCGTATCTTGACGTTGAGGTGCCGGAGGTACCGCCTGTGCTGGCGGTCGTGTCGGACTATGGCAAGACGAAGCACGACTTTGGGCCCGTCTTCATTGGGGAGAAGGCGTACTACACGGTGGACGTGCTCAACATGTCGAGCGAGGTGGTGCACGTGAGCAGCAGCGTGCTGGACAGCTCTGGCGCATTTGCGACCGTCAAGGCCATCCGCCCCATGCAGCCAGGCGCAGTGCAGCGCATTACAATTGCGTTTTGGCCGCAGGCTGCGCGCGCGTATTTCGAGCAGTTTGACATCTCATGCCGCCAGCAGACCATCAAGCTGCGGCTATTTGGGCAGGGCGTTGTGCCCACCTTAGAGGCGGTGCTGCCCAAACGCGAGACGCACTGCGAGTTGGTGTGTGCGGCCACGAGCCAGCCCGTGCCATCGGGGCCGTTCCTCATGTTCCACGATTGCATCAGTGGCGATCGTGTGCAGGCGAAGCTGCGGCTCCGCAACACATCCACGCTGCCGCTCTCCTTCACGCTCGCGTTTGCAAGCCAACAGGCCCGTGACAAGAACACTGTGGCCATCGCCAGCAGGCCGAACAAGAACGACGCGAGCAAGGGCGCAGCGGGCGTGCAGGAGGCGCCGACGGTTGCGTTTGATGCGCGTGTCGGCGCGGCGACGGTGGTGCGGCCACAGCGGCAGGAGTGGGACACGTGCAACGTGAGTGGAACGCCGGCATTCTACTGTGAGCGGTACACGGGTCGCCTGGCGCCAACGGAGCACACGGACATTGCTGTGACGTTTGCGCCCGACCGCACCTCGCTCTTCTTCCGCGATGTGCTGCGTATCACGTACTCCAGCATGGTTGCGCCCATCTGTGTGGACGTGCGCGGGCGCGCGTGGAGTGCAGGCCCCTTCCTCATTGGCGGTGCATCGGCGGCGCTGCCCGCAGCAGACAACCTGCTCCTCCTCTCCCACTGCACTGGGGACGGGCTTGGCGATGCCGGTGATGGCAGCGGGGACGCAGCGGAGGTGAGTGGGAGCACAGGCGACGCTGGTGCCGAGGGCAAGGACGGCAACAGCGGTGGTGGTGGTGGCGGGAAGAAGAACAAGGGGCAGGTGAAGACGCTGCAGAGGCATGTGCCACTGCTGTACAGCTTGGCGGCGCACACAACGACAACGACGTCGGCGGGCAAGCCCGGGGATGGGAGTGGTGATGGCGACGGTGAAGGATCTGGGCCCATGTCTCGGGTGGTGTATGACAGCATTAGCACGACGCTGCTTGCCGGCATCCCTGTTGTGAGCGGCAACGCGGGGAAAAAGGTGACTGGCGAATGTGTTGTGCAGCCTTTAAGCGAGGAGGACCAGAGCAAAGGCTTCTCGCTGAGCGTGGTGAATCGTGCTTCGCTCGACAGCTCGCAACTCCTGCCGGTGGTGATCACATTCAAACCACTAACCAGCGATGATGAGAGTGACGGCGATGGTGAAGGTGATGGCGAAGATGGTGATGTGATGACAGCTGATGGCGAAGGGGCGACACGAGCGGGCGCTGATGGTGAAGAACAAGGCAAGTCTGACAGTGGTGGCCCTGGCGGCGAGCAACCAAAGCCTGCAGCAACGTCACCCCGTGCGTCTCCCATGACGCCAACGCCACGCGGTGGTGCTGGGGAGCAAGAGGAGGAGGTAACGGCGCAGCGCAAGGACCTTGTGCCGGGCATGAAGCTCGTTGCTGCCACCTCGTTTGTTCTCAAATCGGGAGCACATGCCGTTCAGTATGACGTGAGCGTGCAAGTCACCGTGGTGGAGTAGCCATGGCGTCATCAGTGTTTGCACGCGTATGTTGTTGTTTAAGTTGTTGTTGTTGTTGTTGTTGTTGTTGTTGTTGTTGTTGTTGTTGTTGTTGTTGTTGTTGTTGTTGTTGTTGTTGTTGTTGTTGTTGTTGTTGTGCCTGAGTGTATTGATCCGTGTACTTGCTTGTACACATGCCTCCAGGGAGCTGTGCTATTGTTGGTGTTAGAATTCATTTGGGTGTGATCCTTCACCTTCTGTACATACAACACAGTACACCTGACACCAAACCGAGCCTGAAGAATCCACAAAGCAGGGCAAAAGCGAAGAGACGGGAAGAGGAGGGGACGTAATGGAGAGGAATAACCGCCAGGGAGCAGCACAAGAGAGCCGACACACACACACACACACACACACACATACACACACACACACACACACACACACACACACACACACACACACAGGTCAGCGTGGCGAGCAAGTCAGTTGCCTGTCCGTGGGCCCTTCTCTGGGAGCTCTGGCTCGGGCATGTCGTCGTGGGCGGCGTGCTGTTCATCCGGCAGGCGCCGCTGCGTGTGGAACCACTCGCTCTCAAACGCATCCCGGTCAACAGCAAGCCCGCTCGGGGGCACGTGCTCCACGTAGTCGCGCCCAATCTCGTCTGGCGCTGTGGCGATGGCGGTGGCAGTAAGGCTGGCGAGCTCATCTTGCACCACCTTCATGGCATCATGACACGTCATGTCTGCAATGTCTGGTCGCACCCCGTGCAGTTCCGCCAACAACCTGCACGCACGCACAGCCGGCAGTGAGGTGACATGCGCGTGTACGTGCGCGCGTGTGTGATGTGATGTGTGTTTGTGGATGGCACCTGAGTGCGCGCGTGTGTGTGTTTGTGTGCGTGATGTGTGTGTTTGTTTGTGTTTGTTTGTGTGTGTGTGTGTGTGTGTGTGCGCACGCGCTCGATGGCACAAGTGTGTTTGTTTGTGTGTTGGTGCAGCGACATACTCTGCCTCATCGCGGATGCGCTGATCGCGAACGAATCCGTGGGAGCTCAGCTGCGTCTGGGTATTGTCGAGTTCCCGCAAGGACGTGGTGTGCAGAGGTTGAAGAACGAGCATGATGTGAAGCTTGTCGTTTGACGCGACGTGCATGTTGGAAGGGAAAATGATACGAACAGGGTCACAGACACATGTGCGTAAACACACACACACACGCACACGTACACGCACACACACGCGCATATCCACGCACGTCCACGCACACACGCACGCGCGCACATTTGCAGTGTGCCCAAACGTACAAACTTGAGCCAGGCCAAGGATCGGATGAGGGACTGGGTGCGATAGTTTGTGAGGCGCGCAGCATCATCATCAGCGCTCGTGGCGGCCAGCTACATCGCGCATGTTGTGATGAGGGATAGGGGTGAATGAAAGGGTGATGCTGACGTGTACAAGACACACACCCACACATACACACGCACACATACACAAGCATGCGCACACAGGCGAGCGTGTAGCGAACTCACACGCGCATAGCATTTGGAGAGGAGGTGCCAATTACGGAAGTTGGTCTTCTGCGCCACAAGGCAGAGCTGGTACGCTCCAAGGGCATCTGCAGTGAACACGGAATGTGCATATGTTCTTGAGAGGGGGTGCACATGAGCAAACAAGAACATGAAGCCTCTTCGCCTCATGAAGTGGGCCCCACAGCACACACACACACACACACACACACACACACACACACACACACACACACACACACACACACACACACACACGCACGCACGCGCGCACACACACACACACACACACACAAACACACA